AGGTGGCAAGAATACAAAGAACTATACAAAAAAGATCTTCATGACCCAGATAACCACAATGGTGTGATCACTCACCTAGAACCAGACATCCTGGAGTGCAAAGTCTAGTGAGCCTTAGGAAGCATCACTACAAACAAAGCGAGTGGAGGTGATGGAATTTTAGTTGAGCTATTTCAAATCCTAAAAGATGATGTGGTGAAAGTGCTGCACTCAATATGCCAGCAAATTTGGAAAACTCAACAGTGGCCCCAGGAAGGAAAAGGTCAGTTTTCATTCCAATCCCAAAGAAAGGCAATGCCAAAGAATGCTCAAACTACCGCACAATTGCACTCATCTCACAAGCTAGCAAGGTAATGCTCAAAATTCTCCAAGCCAGGCTTCAACAGTATGTGAACCATGAACTTCCAGATGTTCAAGTTGGATTTAGAAAAGGCAGAGGAACCAGAGATCAAATTGCCAACATCTGTTGGATCATTGAAAAAGCAAGAGAGTTCCAGAAAAACATATCCTTCTGCTTTACTGACTATGCCAAAGCCTTTGACTGTGTGGATCACAATAAACTGTGGAAAATTCTGAAAGAGATGGGATTCCAGACCACCTGACCTGCCTCTTGAGAAACCTGTATGCAGGTCAGGAAGCAACAGTTATAACTGAACAATGGAACAACAGACTGATTCCAAATTGGGAAAGGAGTACGTCAAGTTTGTATACTGTCACCCTGCTAATTTAACTTATATGCAGAGTACATCACGAGAAACGCTGGGCTGCATGAAGCACAGGCTGGAATCAGGATTGTCGGGAGAAATATCAATAACCTCCGATATGCAGATGACACCACCCTTATGGCAGAAAGTGAAGAACTAAAGAGCCTCTTGATGAAAGTGAAAGAGAAGAGTGAAAAAGTTGGCTTAAAGCTCAACATTCAGAAAACTAAGATCATGGCATCTGGTCCCATCACTTCATGGCAAATAGATGGGGAAACAATGGAAACAGTGACAGACTTTATTTTGGGGGGGGGGGATCCAAAATCACTGCAGATGGAGACTGCAGCCATGAAATTAAAAGATGCTTGTTCCTTTAAAGAAAAGTTATGACCAACCTAGAAAGTATATGGAAAAGCAGAAACATTACCTTGCCAACAAAGGTCCGTCTAGTCAAAGCTATGGTTTTTCCAGTAGTCATGTATGGATGTGAGAGTTGGACTCAGAAAGCTGAGTGCTGAAGAACTGATGCTTCTGAACTGTGGTGTTGGAGAAGACTCTTAAGAGTCCCTTAGACTACAAGAAGATCCAACCAGTCTATCCTAAAGGAAATCAGTCCTGAATATTCACTGGAAGGACTGATAATGAAGCTGAAAACTCTAATATTTTGGCCACCTGATGTGAAGAGCTGATTCATCTGAAAAGACCCTGATGCTGGGAAAGACTGAAGGTGGGAGGAGAAGGGGACGGCAGAGGATGAGATGGTTGGATGGCATCACTGACTCAATGGACAGGAGTTTGAGCAAGCTTTGGGAGTTGGTGATGGACAGGGAAGCCTGGTGTGCTGCTGCAGTCCATGGGGTCACAAAGAGTCAGACACAACTGAGCGACTGAACTGAACTGAAATCTCTTCTATAATGTGACTGGATGATTTCTTAACCTTTGATCTCAGTATTTTTAGATCTAGTTAAGCAATTTCAGGAGCATCAGTTTGAAAATAAACTTAACTATCCTGCTTGTTCAAAAGGCTAATGAACTCCATGTTGTTAAATGCAAAAATAAAATCTTTTTTCTTTTTTTTTTGGCCTTGCCATGCAGCTTGTGGGATTTTAGTTTCTTGACCAGGGATTGAACCTGGGCCCTGGGCAGTGACAGTGACGAGTCGTAACCACTGGGCTGCCAAACAATTTCCCCCCAAAAAATCTGTTAGTTCTCACTCAACTCTCATCATCACTTGACCCTACTGACTTCTCTCCCCTTGAAATACTCTCTTCCTTTGGTTTCTGTAACACCCTCAACTCCTATTTCTCTGTCCTTCACAGATTCTTTGGGAGCTCACATTCCTCTAACAAACAACTCTTTATTTTAATGTTAGAGACTACTGTGATTTCATTTTAGCAGCTCTTTTTTCCAAGTTATATTCCTTTCCCTAAACAATTTCATCTATAGTTTCAACTACCTATATAAGTGACTCCAATTATCTACTTCCAGCCCATACCTCTCCTTTGAACTTTAGAACCAAGTATCTAATTGCTTACAGAAATATCCATGTGAAAGCTCCAAATCTCAAACCCACTAATCAGAATCAGAAGAACCCTGGTCTTTTTTTTGGTACCACCACCAACTCATCCATTTAACTCAGGAGTCATCTTTGAAATTTCTCTCTCCTTCACCTTCAATCCACTGAGCATGGCCTTATGATCACTCATTTGTCCATCTCCACATTTCTCATCCTAATTCAAGCTATCCTCATCTACTCTGGACTGCTACTGCAGAAGTCTTCACTAATGTCTCCATATCCATTCTTGCTATCTCTCCTTCCTTTCAATAAACATCACTACAATCCTAGTTCTGCTTTCTGGAACTATCAAAAAAGACTAACTTGACTTCTAAATGACAACATTTCAAAGAATAAGAAGGTTATACCACTCCACTCTTACCAAGCATTCTTAGTTTCTTCTATATTCTGACAAATCACTTGCAAGATCACATTCTGTCATACTGTCCCTTAAACTGAATAGATCTTAATGCATGGATATAAGTAGCCTAGCAGTTTATGCAAAAGAATGAAACTTGCATAGTCTCAAACCACAATTACTATTTTTAACGTTTTCATGTTTTTAGCTGAAAGCATGTTAATATTTGTTAGGTACCCACTATATATCAGACATTGTTCAGTGTTCAGGGACAAAACAGTGATCCAAACTGACAAACCTCATTCTTACAAAACCTGCTTTAAAGAGAAAAATACAATAAAGTTAGTAAATTATACAGCATCTTGGAAAGTGTTAAGTGCTATGGAGAAAAACCTGGCTTAAAAAGGGCTAAGAAATGTAGGAGGAGGGCCTGACGCTTTAACAGAGTAGTCAAAGAAAATCTCAGTAGTGGAGTAGAAGTGTGGCTAGAAAAACAGTGACGTCAGAGAGGAAGAGACTCAAAGTCTCAGACCCTGGCAGATCATAGGAAGAGCTATGTATTTAACTATGACTGAGAAGGAAAGCCATTTGAGAAGAGAAGTGATAAGATCTAACGTATGTTATCAGGATCACTCTGGCTGCTGAGTGTTAAAGACTCTAGGTGAACAAAAGTCATCGTGAAACACCCAAGAACGTTATTTTGTAAGTGACAGATGACAGTGTTGTTTTTACATTTTATGTTGAACTTTTATGTGCTTAAGCACTAGGAATTACAAAGCCACAACTTCCCAAAAAAAAAAAAAAAAAGGAAAGTGAGGACCATAACAATGAAAAGATAAGTACTGGGAACAACAGTAAAATGATACAGGATATTTTAACTCCAGGCTCTACTCAGTACTACTAACAGTTATCACTCAGGTGCAAGATTTGATGTAAAGCTATTAACTCATTCTTTGAGACAGCGGATATAATTAAGATTATTTCACTGGGGAAGGTAAGTCAAGAGTCAATTCACATCACTAAAGACAATGGTAAATGATGGCAGAGCTTACTAAAAGGAACTTAACAATGACAATTATTCTAGGGCTGACTCTCCATTATTTTTGTACCTACCATTCTCGTTAGTTAGTTACAGCTATGTCTCTCTGATGAAACTTTAAAAAAAAAGTTAAGTATTAGGTAGATGAGTAATATAATTCCACACTAATTACTAAAAGATGCTACTGATGATGAATCAACTCATTTAACAGCACTGATACATCCTATCTCTGATTAACAGCACAACTTTTCAAGAAAATTGCCTGAAGTACTGGTTAGGGCCCAAAGGATTTATGGGGAAGCTGAATGACCCCTGAACAGTTTCAATCTTAACCCATGAATCCTGTTACTACCACCTCAAAGCACACAAAAATATTCCCCTTAAAAACTTTTCCACGACTTATGTTTCAAGTAGCATATTTAGGAACAATTTTCCATTTCCTTCCAGTTTTCTTCCCCCTCAACGTAAAGAAAATGTCTTTACAGCATAAGTACACTTGAGTAAGCAGAGATCCAAATCCTACCCTGCCAAAAATCTTAAGAGGTACTCAAATTCTCAAGCAGAATGGTCACTAGCTCAACGTAAAATGTACTGATTATTAAAATACTTGCAAGCACCAAGCAAGAAAAACTACAGCGGAAAAAAATGCAGTTACAATAAGAATTGCTAATCTTTAAAAAATTCTTCACATTGCATAAACAAAATACAAAGTAAATTCAGATTACCTTTCATAACAGTAAAACAAAAGAAATCGAAAGACAATTTCATTTCTTCTGCCAGTTCGTTAAAACAACAAAAACAAAAGTCCCACAAACTATTGCAGCCCTTAGTAAACAGCTAAAAAAGTCAAATGATTAGGCCAACTGCCAAAGAAACAGGGAAGAGAAAACAATAGTGTGGAAAAAGACTTGATTACATACCAAAATTTGAATACCAATAAAACACAAAACCCACCAGTTATTTAAGAATGTACTTCAATATCCTGCTGAGGTAAGTAGTCATATGCACGAATCAACTATTGTTTTATAATGAAAAACCGCATCTATTAAACATGCTTTTTCCAATATTCAGTGAATTTCCCAAATTGGGAAAATTGGCATCTACTAGCCAAAGCATTATATTAAAAACTTTTTGGTCAGTTCTGCCTAAATATCTTAGTTCACTAGCAGCATGACAAAGATATTAAAATGTAACCCAAAATGAATGAAAAACGCTCAACTCGTAGACACTGTGTAACAGGGTACAGAAATACTTTGACAATATTTTAAAACTCCATATTCGTATCTGAATGTTTTATTCAACTACTCTTAAATCAGGCGCTTACTTTCAGAACAATTTTTCAAAATGGGGGGAGAGCAAGACGGCCAGACATCTCTAAGAAATGTCTTTAATGGTTCAAAATTCCTAGTATCTAAACAGGAGCAACTGATGGAGACAAGTTGAGATCTCCCGGACCTCTCGTCAGACGGAGAAACTGGTTTAAAAATCGGAGGTGGGAGAAGAGTTTGAAATTCAGGGCATGGGGTAACACGGATGCTCTGAAGCTCCGGCTCTTCCCTAGTCGAGCACTCCGAGAGGTCACCGCGCAGTAAAGTTTGGTTTCACAAACGGGCTTGGACGCTATTGACAAAAGCAAAGTCTCCCAAGTCAAGAGAGACCCGGGGTCGGGGAGCGCCCGGAAGCCCAGCAGGACACAGTCCGCCGCAGGGACCGGGGAGGACGTGTGGCGACCCTGCAGCGGAGAACCCTAGCCTCAACCCACTCCCCCAGGACCCCGGGCGGGGACGGGAGCCGCCGGCGGAGGCGGCGGGTAGGCCACAAGGAGGAAATGGGACGGGGTACCTACAGCGAGGCGGAGGCGGCCGACACGGGGCCGCCCTCGCGGGGGTGGCGAGAGGAACCGGGGGGCCTCCCCGCCTCAGCCTCCCCCGCCCCCAGAGGCGGCTCCAACTTTCCTCCGAGCGCAGAACGCCGCCTGGGCCGCGCGGGATTCCGAAACTTTGTCCGCCCTCCCATCGCTCCGGGCCCCCTCTCCCCCACTCCGCCAGCCTGTCCACCCCACCCCGCAGCGACAGCTGCCTGCGCCCGTCCACCCCCGGGGTCGGCCCATGTTTACCTCAGGCCGAGGTCGAGGCGCTGGTTCCGGCGGCGGCGGCAGCCCCACTGCAGGTTCCTAGGTCCCCGTCACGCCGCCGCCAAGTTCCCCAACATGGACTCCGTCCGCTTTGAGGTATTCCGGGGGCCGCTGAGGCGCCGGCTCTGCTGGCTGGCGCGGGAGGTGGCGGCGATGGAGCAGGGAGCGGACCCGGGCTGCGCTGCTCCGCGCGGCTTGCGCCACCGCTGCTCCCCCTCCCCCCGCCCCGTCTGGCCTCCTCCCGCCCCGCTCCGCGCGTCCCCTTCCCCCTCCCCCCCCACCACTCTCCTCAGCTAAGCCGCGCCGCCACAGGTCGGCGCGCTACGGTGACGCCGGCGGCGGCGGCGGCGGCGGGACCCTCCGCGCTTTCCCTACTCGCTCGCACTGGCCCTGCGTGCACGACTGCAGCGCTCAACCAGACCTCAGGGGGGCGCAGGCAATCCACCGTTTGCGACGGAAGAACGTGACGGGCGGAGTCAAGTCACGCGGCCTGCGAGCAGGAGGGAGGGCCCCAGCTGGCGGCGCGGGCTTCTGGGAAACGTCCTTAAAGCCCGGCTCTCCTCCCACGCCGCGGGTTCTGCGCCTGCGCGCTGGAGTCAGTCCTGCGTTGCCGGCTGTACGCCCTAAGCTGCAGAAGACAGTTAAGACGGCCGTCGGAGAACAGGACGTGAGGGCCTTTGTGCGACCTTTACTATCCTATATGATATTGAACACTATTTTGTTGTTTGGCGGTGGATTGAGTTTTTGTCCTGCAGCGTTATCCGCCTGAACTACATCCTGCGGGGAGACTGAAGTGGCCCCAACTTGTAAGCTCACCTCTTTCTTCCCGCCCAGTGGCATTTTTAAAAGGCTTTGGAGAGGTATCCTACGTGACTCATCAGGCCTAGGCTTGTCCCCCGTATCTGAATTCCCACCACAAAAAATTAAATGTGATCCTGATGCACGTGGTGGTTCAGTTCAGTCGCTCAGTTGTGTCCGACTCTTTGGGAACTCATAGACTGCAGCATACCAGGCTTCCCTGTCATCACCAGCTCCCGGAGCTTGTTCAAACTCATGTCCATCGCGTTGGTGATGCCATCCAACCACCTCATCCTCTGTCTTCCCCTTCTCTTCTGCCTTCAATCTTTCCCAGCATCAGGGTCTTTTCCAGTGAGTCAGTTCTTTGCATCAGGTGGCATCAGTATTGGAGCTTCAGCATCAGTCCTTCCAATGAATATTCAGGACTGATTTCTTTTAGGATGGACTGATTTGATCTCCTTGCAGTCCATGGGACTCTCAAGAGTCTTCTCCAACACCACAGTTCAAAAGCATCAATTCTTCAGTGCTCAGCTTTCTTTATAGTCCAACTCTCCCATACATGACTGCCGGAAAAACCGTAACCTTCCCTAGCCAGACCTTTGTCCGCAAGTAATGTCTCTCCTAACCAACAAGGTAATTTGGTGGTTAGATAGAGACATGTGATGATTCATTCAAGAATACGTCGGAGACTTCGATAAGAAACTTGTGTACCATTATCGATTCTTTCTCAGTAGGGTCATCTAATCTCTTATTTTATCTCAGATATACTTTTCACACTGCTTTTTAAAGTCACTGACTCTTTTAACTTCATAGTTTATCTTCAGGACAAATCTTCACACTTCTGACTACTCTTCCTGCTCTGGGTGTCCTTCCCCTTTCTTCTATCAGAGGGTGTTTGCACTCCCCTCTGAAGCTTTGTCCCTGGGCCTCCAACTTGGCTCACTCAGGTCTCAATCACATCCAGTCTTACTTTTCACACGTTTTTGGGTCGTCTGCCTCCTTCCTTCCTTTCTATGGGCTTTGCACTCCCCTAGTCACGCTGAGGGCTTCCCAGGTGGCTTCCCATCTGGCACAGTGGTAAAGAATCCGCCTGCCAATGCAGGAGACCAAGGAGAGACAACGGTTGGATCTCTGAGTGGGGAAGATCCCCTGGAGGAGGGCATAGCAACCACTCCAGGATTCTTGCCTAGACAATCCCATGGACAGAGGAGCCTGGTGAACTATAGTCCAGGGGGTCCTGAAGAGCCCGACACCAGCACTCCTGGACAGCAGCCTTGCAGAGCCATGCCTGGGATGATTTTCCTTCCTGCTTTTCCAGACCCCTCCCTCACTGGGTACCCCTCTGCTGCACTCGCCAGTCTAGGCTGTTGCCGCTGCCCCGTCCTCCCCACTTCTCTGTAGCCCATTCTTGTACAGCGTGTTTGGTCAGCTCAGTGTGTTTGTCTGTCTCACACAGTGAGCACTGGGACAGTGTCTTAACACTTTCCTAACAACGGCTCCTGGCACAGTGCCTGTGCTCAGTAAGGACTTGGTAAATAGTTGTGGGAAGAATGTATGACTGGCAGCCTTGTCTTTGAGTCTTACAATGTACAGTTTTGGATATGAACTTTGGGGATTCAGATGGGCTCTCCTGTGTTTGGGATATTTGAAGGAACAATGATATAGAGGAGTTTATAACAATACAGTATAAAGAATGTGATAAAAGATGACTAAGACAAACTGAAAACTTTGTTTAAAGAATTGTGTGATATAACCAGATCAACAAGCACTGTTATGAGCCATCCGACTGAGAGTGTAACTTTGTTGTGTATACACATACACACACACACACACACACACGACCTCATCCGGTTATCTGTAACTCGAGATAGAGACTCCTAGTACAACATTCTTCTTTTATGTAAAAATTTATGTAAAAATCTCTTTACATATTTGTTCTGTAAAAAGTGTTCTTTCATAAAAATTAGTCAAAGCTCAAATGATAACATTCTCCAAAGAAAAACTAATTTTTAAATTAAGAATAACAGTATACCAATTCAGAAACACTAAACACAAGTCTTTTGATGTATTTATTTACTGGAAAATAATAAAATTGTCACTTTTTTACAGTTGGCCTCCTAGGTATCATGGGACCATGTTTAAGAGAAAAACACTCAGCGCTAATGGTTTTTACTTTCATGTGCAAGTAGAAAAGAGGATGGTGGTTTGTAACAGACTGTCTCCCTTGGGAAAAGGCCAAGTGTATTTCTGTGCATGCACTATTCTCCTAATAATGTTTGCATGATGATTTATTTTTTTCTCTATTTTTCAGTATTTTTTATTTTTAATAAAGAGATACTGGATTTTAAATGAATAAAAGGTGACCTCTAAGATGTAGGAGTAAAGATTGATATACCAATCATCACTGTCAAAATTTTAGGTTTTATTATAGCCATAAAAAAACACAAATGATGCGCATGGCAAAACAGTCTTCAACTGAAAATTGAATTGGTGTGTTGCACTTAGACCAGTACTTAACATGTCAAACCTGTCATGTGGCAACAGAAACCTATATTAGCATCTTAAGAAATGAAAGATAATCAGTGTATTGATTTTGACAGAACTTTATCAGAGAAAACTGCTATTATCAATTTAATTCTTCTGAATTGAGTAAAAAATAAAAATCGCATCAAGAGGGTTAAGCATGGCATAAAGACACTTGGTTACAAGGGAAACATGGTTCTAAAATAGACTGTCACTTAAGACTTCTGCAGTTTTTAACAAATTGTGTAATTTTTCTGGCCCTCAATTTCCATATCTGTTGATACTACAGTGGAAGTTTTTAGTTTAGTGATCTCTGTGACATTTTTATAGCAGAAGTGTATGAATTCACAGGATGTACAGTTTAAGACTCTTATAGGCAAAACACACAATGTCTTTATAAGAAATTTAAAAATGCATGTTAGTTTACAGAAATTTTTTTAGGGCAGTGGTTTATTCTTGTTTTCACAACTGAAGAATTTTAATCGAGATGATACTGATTATTGTCCAGTTGTCTTCTGTGTGGAATTAAATTTATTTCAGCAAGAATCATTTGGGTCTCTACTATCTGGAAGGTGCTGTGAGATGGTTATAGATAAATGAACAGTGTGTCAGAGACAATTTAGTGGTTACAGATCAGTATAAAAACTAAGGAAAAGTAAAGGCAATAAAAACAAAGTGCTGGGTGGGAGCAGGGGTTGTCAAATAAGGAAGAGAGTGCAACAAGGACCAAGGACGATTTCATGAAAGAGCATATCTGAACAAAATGTAGTCAGATGTAATTCCAAATTTAAGACTCTAGTTCCTCTTAGGTCAGTCTCCCATTCCCACTTTTTTACCTCTTCTACTTTTTTACCACTCCCTTCATGTCTCACCCTACAATCACTCCCACTGAGCCCCTCAATCCTGAACCCAGCAGACCTTATCACAGTCTTTATAGTAAATAACTCCCTCAACTTCTTTCTCTATACCTACAAAGTCAATCTGTAACTGTCAATATCCACACACACACACTTTTTTTCCTCCATCACAAAGAACCATCTCTTTTTTCAGTTAAGGCTTAGGTTTCTACTGGTGCTGTAGATCATTTTTTCCAGACTTTGGAATTTATAGACCATTACCATTTCTAACAGTTTGGGAACTGACATAGCTTTTTTTTTTTAATCCTGACAAATCACTGTATGCATTTTTAAATCCCTCCCATCTCTTACCACCATGATTTCCTAAAATAAATGTATTTATACCACCAAAAAACTAAATTTTTATGAACTACACTGTTTGGTTTTCTGTGGGTTTTTTTTTTTTTTTTTTTTTTGCATTTCGTTGTAGAACAGTGAAGCCACCAGCCTTGGTACATCTGGGACTCTGCTCTGTTAGATCCCCTCAGGGCCTGCTCCATGGGTTACTCTGGCTTCAGCATTTTCAACCTCTTCTTTACTGTAGATTAATTTATCCCTTCTCTTGAAATCTAAAAATAGTTTCTGTTTTAAGAAACTTCCTCATTTCACTTTCTATTCACTTTTTTAAGGTAATAAACTGCATTTTAACAATTCAAACAATACAGAAGTTTATAAAAACATTCAGAAATATAAAAAGAAAAAGAGAGTTATCCCATCCCAGTCTTAGATAAAACCAGTGTTAAAAAGATTAATGTTTCTCTCCATACTTTTTCCAATGGTTATAGAAACACATATGTATAGAGGTTTTGATTTTTATTTTTATAATCACACCATATATATTTTTTAACAACTTCCAGTTTACAGTGGATACTGTTATCTAGCTCAATTTTTTTTTAGGTAGCTGCACAATATTTTATCACTGCAGATGGTGACTGCAGCCATGAAATCATTGCAGCCAAAATCACTGCAGGTGGTGACTGCAACCATGAAATTAAAAGATGCTTACTCCTTGGAAGGAAAGTTATAACCAACCTAGACAGCATATTAAAAACCAGAGACATTACCAACAAAGGTCCATCTAGTCAAGGCTATGGTTTTTCCAGTAGTCATGTATGGATGTGAGAGTTGGACTATAAAGAAAGCTGAGCGCAGGAGAATTGATGCTTTTGAAGTGTGGTGCTGAGAAGACTCTTAAGAGTCCCTTGGACTTCAAGGAGATCAAACCAGTGTATCCTAAAGGAGATGAGTCCTGGGTGTTCATTGGAAGGACTGATGTTGAAGCTGAAAGTCCAATACTTTGGCCACCTGATGCAAAGAGCTGACTCATTTGAAAAGACCCTGATGCTGGGCAAAGTTGAAGGCAGGAGGAGAAGGGGATGACAGAGGATGAGATGGTTGGATGGCATCACTGACTCAATGGACATGAGTTTGAGTAGGCTCCAGGAGTTGGTGATGGACAGGGAGACCTGGCGTGCTGCAGCCCATGGGGTCGCAAAGAGTCAGACACGACCGAGCAACTGAAATGAACTGAACTGAACAATATTATATAGTATTAAGGTACTGTTTTTGAAGCCATTCTTTTATTGGTAGATAATGTAGATTTGTCCAGTTTTGTGTCATTATAAACAATGCTGAAATAAATGTCTTTTTAAATTATGCAGTTTTTCTGT